TCGAAACCAGTGAACCCCAGGCCACCGAAGTGGAGCATGTGAACTTAACCACTCAGCCACAAGGCTGACCCCTCAAGTGCCAATTCTTAATCCAGTGCCCTTTCTACCATTTCATGTCGTAAGGTAATACATCTCATAGTTTTCTGGAATTATTGTTTGCCAAAGGTTAGCATCACTTAGATGCAGAGTGACATTCTTAGTGAAGAAACCATAAGAGATGTGTGAAGGATATTCATTACAAGCCTGCAAGAGTCAGAGAATGCTGGAAGGACCATGGCTCAGAGAAAGGGCTGAGTAAGGCTGCCTGAGTTCAAATTCAGGCTTTGTCACTAATTACCTGTGTGAACCATGGACGAGTTACTTGATGCCCCTGTCCCTGGTGGACATCTGGGGCTGTCTCCATTCCCCTAGGCTTCCATTTTGGGCTCCTAATGGATCCAAGAACACTGACCCTAATGCCAGCTCCTGGGGTAGAAAAAGTGATGTAAGTCAGTCAATTCATTCCATCCCCCAGGGCATGTCATCCTTTCAGCCATGGCCAGGTGACCCAAGCTAGTCCTATCAGAGGGAACCCCAGGACTCTTGAAGGGAATGCCGGGACAGAAACATCCCATTGGATGTGAACAAGGAAGCACAGAGTCCTGGGAGCTGCAGGCAGCCACGTTGGATCCCTGAAGGGAATCAGCCTTAGAAAGAAGTGGACGCTCTAGAAGGCAGAGTACACACATGGAAAGAAACTGGGTCTCACGTAACACTGTTGACTCTTTGCCCAAGGCCTGCCAACAACTCTGGATCTTTCAGTTACTTGAAATAATAAATCACTGTTTATGCCAATTTGAGTTGGGTTTCCTATAATGTACAACCAAAAACATCCCAACAGATTTGCGCTGTCTCCTCATCTGTGAAATAGCAATAAATAATAATACTCACCCTAATTAGTTTGTTGTGAGGCTCAGATAAACTAACACATAAGAACGCGTGGCACCATCCTGTTCACAGCGAGTCCTCTCCTCCACTTATGGCAGTTGGGAACACCTCATCACTCTTTCTCTCACTGTAACGGCTGATTCTTTGTGCCAAAAAAGCCAAGTCTTTCAAAGATAAATATCACATTTCACCTGAGGGCCCCACATGAGCCACACTTACCCACGCTTTTATGCACGGGCTCCTTTAGGATGTGTCACTGTAAAATCCTGTTAGGTTAGACCCTGCTCTAGCAGGAGGGCAGAGCTGTTTGATCATAATCATAGTGCTCATCATCTCCAGGCATCTGGTGATTTTACTGCCTTTTCCCAACATCCCTTGGGTTGGTGTCCTTAACCTATTATGTAACGATATTTCAGGGTCTGGGAGATGAATTGCTCTCTGCGTAAAATATGGCAGCGGATCTATACCCCTAAGCTCTGATAATTAGTTTTTAATGTAACTACAATTCTTTTGAGGAGATGTTTTCGCGCTCTAAAATCTTCTTAAAAGCATCCCTTAGGCTGAAATTAAGTTGGAAGGAGTGTCATGGAGGTCTGTGGCGAGGGGCGAGTTGGGCTCAGGTTACCAGCCAGCCTGACATGATTCATGGGCCTCGGGCAGAGAGAGGCCGAACCTCCTCTCACCTCGGCGGCCAGGCCTGCTCCAGCACGCAGCCTCCAAAGTAAAGGGCGAGAACGCACTTCATCACCAAACATGACACCCGAGTAATGGTTACAAATGGGTTTTCGAGAAGGGGGAAGGTGAACAGGGTGGGGGCTCAGACAGGGGGATGTGAACGAACTGGGGGACACCTACCAAGGCCTCCCCTTTTCATAGCATCAAAGAGTTTTTCTCTATCCAAACAATTGTGGGTTTCTTTTCTATTAGGTCAACAAATATTTATTTCAGTTCAGACATTTAAGATTCATAAGGGACCATAGTCAATCTGTTCCTTAGGAAGAAATGTCAGATGCCTTCTGGAAATGCTTTGGAGCTGCTGAACCCAGCTTGGTTCGCCCACGTCCTCCGTACCTTTCCCCACTGTGCACACACCAGCACCCTCTCACTCCACTCTGGGATTCTCAAAATTAGCGTTGTTTGGACTCTGCAAAGACAAACTAGGTGTCTCGTCCACAGGTAGCACTACGTATGGACCAAGGGGTTTCATAGCTGGGACATCATCTGGCATAATTTTGTTAGTAGCATCTATGCAGTTAACCCATCAGATGCTGAACTTGCTACATAGAGGAAAGCGAATGGGAATCAGCATAAACACAAAGACCCAGAGGGGACAGGATACCATAAAATGCTATCTTCTCTGCGAATTCCAAAGAAATTCCAAGTCCCCAAATGTCCGGCAGATCTATGAAAACATTTCCTTCCCCTTTGCCTGAAGCTACTCTCAGAAAAAATTTAAAGTGGTTTGAAAATAATACAAGCTTGGGTTCTTTACTTTGATCCTCGGCCACACCAGAGGTCCCTTCCCTCCACATGTCAGGCAGTGGGCAGCCCCGACAGCTCTAATTGTCAGGTCAGGAAGCCTAATTGGTGGGGGAGTCAGGGGGCACTGAAGGCTGAGTCCCTCCTCGTGGTGTGGGGTCTCCGTGGTCTTGGGCGGATTCCTGGAGGAACTAGCCAGTCTTCCCATTTCCTTGCCATTTTCTTCAGTGCCGCGGACCCAGGCCGCTCAGCGGAGTGAACGCTGAGGCTCAGGAAAGAGCTCCTGGGCTTCCCCTCCACATGGGCCCGGCCCCAGCTCCAATCTCTCCCCCTCCTCCCCTGGCCTGCTCAGCAAAGCCGCTCTCATCTCCCCCAGGGGAAGCCAGACAGGAGCCCCATCTCTGGTCCAAAGTCCCTACCACCTCCTGTTAAGGAAGTGAAACAGCCTTGAAGACCCTTGGAGGCAAACAACGTCCAGTGTCGTCAAAGGATGAGGGTGGGGATGAGCCCTTTCATACACACAGATGGGACTACAAGTAGAATGTTCTGGAACTGGAGGCTGACAGAACTGCGTCAGATCCTGGCTCCATCACTTACTAGCTGTGTGACCTCATGCAAAGGACTTAACCTTCTGACCCTCAGTTTTCTCATCAGTGAAATGGGAAGTGGTGATGGAACCACTTCGTCCTACTGGGGGAAGTTAAAGGATATGAAGTACTGGATATGAAGCCTGACAGAGGAAAGCTCTCAAATGGCAGCTGTATCTCTTCTTACTTCTGGAGAACAATTAGCGATGTCCATCCCTCTGACCCCGTGATCCCCCTCTTCTAGGACTGTTTCCCAAGGAAATGATGAGAAATGTCACACAAAGGCTCACATACAAGTGTACTCATCCAAGCATTATTTAAAGCAGGAAAAACTGGAAATGAGCTAAACCCCCAGAAATCCCCACTGGCTAAATGATTACGGCACATCCACGTATCAGGACACAGTGCAGCATGGTGCCCCCGGAACGGTGCCACGGTAAGTGTATCAGCAAAGGAAAGAGCTGACTTGCACTTCAAGTATTATGGGATAACACAAGACATACAACCAAGTCAATATGTCAACATACAAAAAGTAAATTGTTTGCTCACCATAATGATTAATAAGAAAGTCAGTATTAATAATAAACTTTGTTAGTGATAACCATCACTTTCAAAAAAAAAAAAGCAAATTTATTCTCTCACAGTTCTGGAGGCTAGAAGACTAAGATCGAGGTGTTGGCAGATTGGTGTCTCCTGAGGCCTCTCTCCTTGGCTTACAGATGGCCACCTTCTCGCTGTGTTCTCTATGCATGTGCACCCCAGGTGTGCCCCCCAACTGCCATTTCTTGATTTACTGAATACTTACCCTGTGCTAGAGATGATGAAGCACTACGTGCCACCTCCTGTAACCCTCACAAGAGGTGGGCACCATTATTCCTCCTCACGTTTCAGATAAGAAAACTGAGACTCAGTGAAACTGAGCGACTTGCCCAGCACCACATGGCCAGCAGGCAGCAGAGCCAGGATTCGAGGCCAGGTTGGACTGACTGCAAAGTCACTCTGCAATTTCACCTCCCTAACTGGATTGCATTGCCAGCTGAAATGAGTCACAGTAGCTCCCCAAATCAGACCTTCAGAGATGAGTGGGGCCTCAAGACAACAAGATCCCATCATCTCCAGGGAAAGAAGAGTCTAGAAGAGCTAGTTTCTCATCACTTCTACCCAGCAGCCCCTTACATGGTTTTGTGATGATGGAATTGCTTTAGTCAATATTGAAAGTAACTTAGAAAATCTCTTATTATGAATTACGCCACAGAGGAGGCAGACATAAGACGATAAGATGAGATAAAATAGGATAAGATGGCCAGTGTGGATTCCCTCCAGAAAAGACAGGAACGCTACAGAGCCTCAGAGATGTCGTGAAGACTGGTGCTCCTCGTTGCTTTGCAGCAGCAGCACCCACGCTCACTTGCACAACACTCCCATGGGCGTTCTAAGTTCCAACAAGTGGACAGCAGCAGAGAGAAGACAGCCTCTGGAGTGCAGCCAGATCCCAAAGGACCAGCTGTCCCACCATCTTTTCTCAGAATTGATGGCTCTACACCAGTCACATGACACTCAGTTCAGAATCGTGACCTGGAGTCCTAGACCAGTGGTTCTTAAGCCTGGTGGCATACTAGAGTCACTTGAGGAAGTTTTAAAAATGTGGATGCCCAGGCCACACCCCAGACCAAATAATTCAAAACCTCTGGAGATGGAGCCAAGGCACTGGGCATTATTTTTTAAAGAGCTCCACCTGATTCCAATTGACAGCCCAAATTGAGAACCACTGGCCTAAAGCCTATTAAAATAGAGCTCAAAAAGTTCTCAGAAAAGCTGAGCTCGACATCCTGTTCAAGATGTGTGAGAAGCTCTGAAGTCAGTTCTAATTAAGCAATCAAATTGTTCCCAAAGAGAAAGGGGGAAAAAATGTAACAAAAACCAAAAAATACCTACTGCGGCTCTACAGGAGGCTGTGGGAGAAACTGAAACTTAAAAAAGATGCAAAAAACTACATCCTGAACTTACAAGAACCCTTGCCAGGTCACTAAAGAGAAGTGGGTGGTGCTGATGGAACAGGCAGGACAGCAGCGTGGAGGTCTGCCGACTCCTGGAGTTGCCTAGAAACATGGAATTCATCTAGTCTCTCCATCAATGGGGCCCATTCTCATGCCCCCCACTCATAGAAAGAATTCCTCTCAAAAGAAAGAAGCTGGCACATGTGGTTTTAGCTCTATTTGGAACCCAAAGGAGGAAAGGCATATAGTCGCATCCCTTGGGTAAGATGGAAAATATGACACCTCTCATCTTGAAAGAAAAGATGATCTTCAAAAAGCAAATGGTAGAATACTCAAGGTCAACAAGAAACTGAGGCCCAACATAGGTGAGAAGATTGTATAAAAGCTCAGGATCACTCAAACTGGTTCAAGCCTTTAAGCCCAAATAAATACGTCATGGGACAGAAAAAGAATTTGCGGATTTAATCTGAGGACAACTGTCAGCATTCATTGGAAACCAGGTTAAAACTGGACACCTGGAGAGGGACAAATAGCACTGCCACTTTCAAATAAAATTGTATCCTAGAAACTCTGGGTTGATGAACTTGAATTTACACCTTCCTAAAATTCTTATATGGCTTAATAAACAGATGGCTTGTCTGAACTGAAACAAACAAAACAAAGCATACATTACCAGGAATCTACATGAATTCACTCAAGAATTCACTCCAAACAAATACTTTTTTACACAGGGTAACCAGACAAGTAGATCAGGGAAAAATACAGAAATGGCACGGGGATGTCACAGATCTTCCGTGGTAGCCTTGTGAACAAGGACACAGCATGTGCCGTGATGATAATAGATGAACCTGTGGTGAGGTGAACACCCAAAGCCAGAGTCCTGGTCCCTCTGCCTGTCCCAGCCTCCAAAGGCTGGTGGTGAACGTGGGAAGGCTCCAGCACCCAGGCCCGTCCTCTTCACAATGTCTCATCTTTTTAAATTTTACATGTCTGTCTGTCTACCTATCTATCTGAGACAACTTTAGAATGTATGTGAAATAAAGTTATTAAAAATAGAATCAAATAATCAAAACCATGAAAAGGAAGAAGAAATGAATATGCTAACCAGAAAAGTTTCTAAGAGCGAGCATTAAATTTGACCCTGAGCTTCTCAGCAGCCAAGGCAAGAAGGGAAGCATGGTTGGCTTCGTCTCTGCCCACAGAGAGACGACCCATTTTTATCTTGGTACTAAATTATGAAAGGAATCTATCAGATGGGACCTCGCACAGGGAGCACAGAGCATGTCACAGCAACATCCTCAGCGAGGGTACCTGTGGCTTCTGAGGTACACTAAGTTTGGGATGATTTGCAGAGAGTTTAATGAAGAGATTACTTACAAAGGTGCGAGCAGAGTGCAGGAAGCCACGAGCAGTAATGCACTACCCCAGGGGAGGTAGTGGGGGCGATTTACCCTCCTGGGCTGGAAGAGACTGTAGATGGGTGCCGCCAGCCCAACGCAACCTTGCCTAAATGGAGCTCACTCTCCTCCACCCTCCAATCTCCTGCTGGGGCTCCCCACTGCACCCAACCGGAAGCCAGAGGCAGCCCCTTTGATGCAGTCCACACAGGCAGCCTCCTGGGGCACATGGCAGGGTAGAGAGAGGTGAGGAGCAGATCTGGAGGCGCAAAGAGAAGAAAACGACAACAAATGGTTGTAGAGAAAGCACTAACAGGATCTGATAACGTTGCTTTTCATATGAAAAACAACAAGAGATAGATTTTCAACATAATTCAGAAGGGCCATTCTACAAGAGCACATGCTAATGTGACTTGGGCATGTGACTTTCTGATGATGTAACATGATACAAAAAGTAGAATTTAGAATTCCCAGAGGATAGGTGGACCATGTGCCCTTTACACTGTGTTCTAAAATTAACACTTCCTTTTTTGTGGGGGGATGCTGGTCATCAAGGAGCACCTAGTGTGTGGATGGGTTCTGTTGGCAGCTGAAAATAGATGTGTAAGCTTTAAATCCCAAGGGAATAAGTGGCAGGGTAGAGAGGACAGTCTGTTCTGGACAATGTTTTGCTCAAAGACCAAGGATCTTGAAAGCACTCATTTGAGGAATTGTGGAGGGAAACAAGAGTTGAACCTAGAGAATAGATTTTGTGGGAACATAATCCCTGCCTTCAATATTTGAGAGACTATCTTTCAGAAAAGAGATTGTCCAGATTTCTGTGTCATTCTAGAGGACAAAGCAAGGACCAACGATTTCAAGGTAGAAACTGATAAACTGCAGCTCCATAAAGAAAGAACTTTCTAAGAGTTTGGGCTACCAAACTAAGGAATGAGCTTTTACAAAATATGAGATGCCCTCATATTCCTCAAGTAGAGGCTGGAGGCAGATGAGACAGATGACGACAGTGGCCTGTGTTTCAGTGTTTACTTTTCCCCAAGCTCTTGCTATGTGCTCGACAGGCATAGATTTATTTACTCTTCTAAGGATGTACTATGATCCCCAATTTCAAAACAGAAAATGAAGGATTTCGGCTGGTAACTGACGGTGTCAAGATCCAGTCCTGCTAGTCTAACTCCAGGGCTCACGCGTTTACATAGGCTGCCCATCCCCTTCTGCCCGAAGAAGAGATTCCTAATTCGGTGGAAGGTTAGACTCAGTTACCTGTCCTAAATTCCTTCTAACTCTCGAATTGAATATAATTATGCTAAAATCTAGGGATCCTCTTGAGGGCACTATAAAAGGAGAGATCCTTGTGGCCTGGGGTGGCAGGGAAAGGAAGGACCCACAGTCTTGCAGGAAGGGCTGAAGTGGACGCCGGTGACAAAGGGAGGACTTCCCAGGTAAAGGGACCGGGAGACAAAGAGGCAGAGCAGAACAAGGGCCAGAGGGAAACCTACAGTGGCCAGAAGACCAGTTCTGAGTCGGAGCACAGTAGGCTGTAACTTTGGAGCAGTTGGCTGGGCCAGACTACAGAAAGCACTGAAGGCCTGGTCAGGGTTTTATTGGTAGATAAAAGGAAATCATTGAAAGTTTGAGGGCAGGAGAGTGACACAATGAAAGCACCATTTTAGAAAGATTAGCCCTGCAGTGAGGTAGCACAGAGATTACAACAAAGACACACGGGAAGGGGGAGGCCATTTAGGAAGTAATGGAATAGTCTACCAACAAGTGTGAAGGCCTAGGCAGGATTCCAGAGGAGTCGACAAGAAGTAACTCAGTGTCATTTCATGGGTGTGTTTCAAAGTGAAGATTTGCCTTCTGGGCTGAGGACAAGGCGCTGGCAGTTTAGTGCTGATCTCCACCGTCAATGAGGTTAGCTAACTTTGATGTATTTAGTATATGTACGCCTCCTTGGAGCAGCTGGTTAATTATATAAAGTCGACCTGATCGTCGCCCTTGGGTTATCCTGGTGACCCCCAATGAACCTCACCTCCCAGTATCCATACCTTTGTGTAGCTTGCTCCCCTTGAATCTGGGCTAAGCCTGCAACTGGTCTAACCTATAGAATGCAGCAGAAGTGACAAAGTGCCAGTTCTGAGCCTAAGCCCACAGGTTTGGAAGTTTCTGCTTTTTGCCTCTTGGGAGCCCTGCACTTCTATGTAAGAAATCCAGCACCAAGGCGACAGCGAGCCTCAGATACAACTCCAGTCGACCTGTGGCAGCCCCAGGCCCCAGAGCCTTTCTAGCTGAGCCTCCAGACATGTGAGCGAAGAAGCCATTATGGCCTTCCAGCCCCAGCAGATGTCAAGTGGAACAGAGGCAGGCCGACCCTGCTGCACCCTATCCAAATTCTCAACCCACAGAAGCATGAGGAGTAATTAAGTGGTTAGCATTTCAACCTACTAAGTTTTGGGCTAGCTTCCTACACAGCAAGAGCTAACTGAAACAGGGATCTCCCAGACTCAGTAAAAACCCCTTTCTCTGAGAGCTACTTCTCCCAGCCCAAGGGGAGCGGCCCCAGCAGCCTTGTTGGTAATGCTTAACTCCACCCGGCCCATGCATGGCTGGCCTTGAGATGGAGTGTAGAATTGAAGCTTGGATGTGTTAGTCTTGGTCCCTGAGACTGGCAAGAATGGAGACATGTCAACTGCCCGGACTATGGGAGAGCCATCTTCAGCCGTGAGGTAAAAGAGAGAAAAGCTGAAAAGATGGCAGCCTCAGCTCATGACACTTTCCAATTCCTCTTCTCCTCCCTCTTGAGGCCCCCCAATAATTCATGTAACTGTGAATCACTTATAAGGCCCTTGTGTTGTAACACGATCCCATTTTTATTTACTCTAGTGTGGAGTGAGCTGCTCTTACTAGCAACCAGAAAAAACAAATCTTAAAACTAAGACTTTTTTCCATTCACCCCTTCCCTACAAAAGAAGCCTACTATTCTCCTGAATTGAACCCCGGTTTGCACTGAATACCATTAAATGGGGTTTTAAGGGTAGATTTGGCCTCAAAGTTCCAGCCTACAGGAAAGGACCAATCCACAGGCCTTGAGACTAAGGAAACCACCCCCCCAGATCACTCTGAGTGGTTCTCCAACCAGCGCCAGGACAGGACCACTCCAATGCGGGAATAGCCGTGTCTCGGTACGTCTGAGAATTCAGGAGCTCTGACAAAGCAGAGACTTGGCCCTGTAGTTCCGAGCTTCTCCAGAAACACGTCAGCAGGCGGAGCAGAAGATTGTCGTGACAGATACGGTCGTAAAATTCCCACCCTGCGTAACTTCAGGCAAATTGAACTTATCCGATCCATGACACAAGTGGGAGGTTGAGATCCATTCTTCATGTCAAGTCCAATCGTTGGCAGGTTAATAGAAGCAACTCGTTACTTTCAGCTGGCGGCTTCATGTCCTGATTTGTTCTCAGACAGCCGAGCTGTGGCCACAGGATCTGGGCAATTGGGTTAAACTGACACCACGTCTGGCGTGGACACTGTGAAGCATGTCCTGAGGTGTGACAGGTCTGGGGAAAGATGGGGGCCCAGATCTGTTCAGGGCAGACGTCAAGTTCAGACATCTGCGTGATAAATGTTTCCCGTCTCCAGGGTGTCTTCTTCCTCTGAATGCCTGTCCTTCTGAAGAAATGACTGAAAGTTTATTTAATCATGAACTTTTTTTCCATT